CTCCCTCCCGAGTCCATCGGCTCCACAGCAGAACCAAAGAGAAGGGAGTTTTACAGTGTCCACGGTGCTCACCACACCTACCTGTTCACACACGGTGCTTTTTCTACTTTTGATGATGAGATATGTATGCCAACTTTGTTGGAACTGAACTTGCCAGCTATCATCAGTGCATGATGACATGGTGACATTTTCCCCTACTGTTGGTCTATTGAAGGTCTACTGAAGCTATGGAGAAGGCAATGGCACCCAACTCCAATACTCTTGCCTGGAGAATCCCATGGACAGAGGAGCCTGGTGAGCTGCAGTCCATGGGGTCCCTGCTCGCTTCTCTGGCTCCATCTCTGGGAAAAAGCTGCCCTCACCATCATGGGGGTCCAGTCTGGGGACGAGGCTGACTATTACTGTGTTCTGTATACGGTTAGTTACAGTGCTACAGTGATGTAACCTCATGCGGAAGCACTACCAAAACCTGCCGTTGTGCTCAGAGGACTCAGCGCTTTGAGGCGGGAGAGGCAGAGAGAGGGTGGAAATGCTCAGCAGCCCGTGGGGAGGGGGCATCTGGGGTCCCATCTCCTTCCAGCGGTTCATGGCCCCGCGCCTGCTCCTGTCTCTCCTCTGGGGTGTCCAGTTCTTCATGGGGACCCCTCTCTGCCCATAATGATGCGGAGGGGAATCAGGTCCATATTTTATCAACAACACTGAGAGTCAGCGTCTCCAGCACAACCAGCATGACTCTCCTTGCTGACTTTGCTGATGACCCTTGATGACCTCTAGGGCTGGCAGATGAAATCTAGCAACTGCACCCTGGCAGGGGTCTCAGCATCACTGTGCGGGGACCTGGTCTCCCAGACCCTCCTGGCTGAAGCGGGCAGGGCCCCATCACCCTGGGGGTCAGGTGCCTCTGGGGCTCCAGCCCATCACAGCCTCCAGCCTGAGCCTGGCCAGGAGTCAGGCTGCTCAGCTCTCCAGGTTCCCATCCCAGACCTTGGCAGCCAAGGCGGGGCTGAACTTCTAGGCCACACCCCAGCCTGAGAATGACCAGGGGGACAAGCCAGGCTCGTCTGTCCCCCGCTGACTCTGCCAAGGGTTGTGCAGAGCATTAGAGATAACACTGTCAGTGACGCAGCCAGGAGCTCAAGGGGCCAATGCCAGAACGTGGTCAAGGTCCCCGTGAGTGAATCTGCGGCTGTAGAAACGTATGCATCTACCTTCACAGGCTCCAAATCTTCGTAACAAACAGATTTCAGGGCTTCAGCAAGAGGATGTTATTTCCCTGGCTTTTCTCTTCTCTCCCATGAGGAGGAGGTGGTCATAACCTCAGAGGGTCAGACCGCCAGTGGGCTGTGCCCAGGGTGGGCAGCCTCTACCTCCCCGTTCCTCTGACCTTGGCACGTACCCGGACCTCGGACCTGAGTGCCCTTCTGTCCCTGCAGGGAGGCCACCTCACTCACCCTCACATCTCAACTGACCCCTCACAGTTGTGTCCAGGCCCCTATGCTGTGTTACCTCCCAGGATACGGGGACAGGACTGGGGTCCTCCCAGCGTGGAGCCCCCAGGGCATCAGCACTGGCTTGGGAGGGGAGCAGAAACCAGGGCAGCCTGAGGGACGGTGACCGTGGGGCCAGCCCCCTCGCTGCATCAACAGTGCTGAATAGGAGGTGGGGGCGGGTGGTGGGCACTGCGGTCACCCCTCCCCCTGGTGCCCTGAGACCACGGAGCTCACGGGGCTGAGCGACCACCGACCGCAGCGCAGCTGCCCCCTCAGCCTGGCTGCCCCTCCCTGAAGGCAGCAGGAAGCAGGGAGTGGTCTCAGCGTCCCCCTGGGCGGAAGGAGCTGCTGACAGGAGTTGCCCCAGGCTCCCAGGTGGGGGTCAGCAGCACAGAGAAGTGGGGTCAGGACCCCCCTTTGCTGGGCCAGTGGACAGCGGACACATACCATTGCTTCACGGACTGTTGGTTGGAAGAATACAGGGCAGCCCTTCAATCCTCCGTTTCCCCACCATGACCATTCCCCGAGCACATCACCAGGGGGCGCTGTGCCCCGCTCAGAACCGGCCGACCCGGAACACCCCAGATGGTCCCCTGCCCCTGCGCCAGGGCTCACTGGACTGAGCTGGGCGTGACAGCAGGTGCTTCCTCTCAGGGGACCAAGTCAGAGCCCGGCCCCGGCCTCCTGCTGGGAGTGAAGCTGCACACGGGCCCAGGACCCACAACTGGAGGGTGATGGGCTCAGGGCGTCATCAGTCCCACCCGCTTCCCCAGGAGCAGAGGAGGGGAGGCCCCCAAGCCCACCCTTTGCACCCCTCCGTCTCCCCGCAGCCTCCTCTGCCCCTCCCCTGCTCTTTCCTAAGAGCACCCCTCTGACCCATGACTTTCCTCTCCGGTCCTGGGCTCCTGTCCACAACCCTTCACCAGCGCCGTCCTGCTCCAGACCAACGGCCCTCTATCAGCAGGGGTCGGGGTCCAGTCTTCCTTGACCAGACGCTCACTTCCTTGTCCTCCCTTGCAACCTCTCTAGCCCTCCTACCGGAGAAGCCTCAGGTCTCCAGACGCTCAGGTGTGACCCCAGCTCATCCCCTCCCGGCCAGGGCTCTCACTGCTGCCTTACCAGGCCTCCTTACCTCAGCTTATCGTCCTATGGGCCCTTCTGAGGGTCCGAGATCAGCAGACCTGCCCTTCATACACCTTCCCATAACTCAGCTCTGAGGCTGACCTGTGGCTCCCATACCTCAGCCTGCCCTGTTTTCACAAGCTGCTCAGAGATAAACACTCCCCAGCGGAGATGCAATATGTGGCAGAGAGAGCTGGTTCTAGCCCTGCCTCACTCAAAGTCCAAATAAGTTAAGAATGCAAATATCTTTATAAAAATATTTTTACTGGATAATATTTAAAATTTCCTAGGATATCTATTAAGTCAATTTAAAAAGAACTTTTTAATTAAAGAAAAAGAACTTACATGATAATTGGTTTTCTAAAACTGTACCCTTGCCAATGAAAAATTAAAAGAAAACATAGGTTTTCCATCAGTTTAATTCATGCACAGCTTTTAAGGAATGATTGTAGATTTTCACTAATCCATTACCACTTTCTGGTTCATTTAAAATCTCACACACCCAGAATGTAATAGCTATTCCTGTTCAGGGCAAACTACAGTCAACCGTTCTTTTCGAGGCAATCACTTCGAACTCTGCCTTCTCTAACCTGCTAGTGGGGATGGTTGGTCCTAAGAGTTATTATGTATCACGATCCCTGGGGACACAGGCTGCATAGAGCCCTTCAGAGTCTCAATGAAAACTGCCAGGAGCATCACCAGGCTTGCTCCCTGCAGCCTGTGCCCTGTTCCTCCAGGAGAGATGCCCAGGAGGGGTCACTTCATAAGATAGGACATGTGCATGGGGTCCAGCGTGGGGAAAGCTTCACACACAGCAAGTTCTGTTCAGTTCAGTAGCTCAGTTGTGTCTGTCTCTGTGTGACCCCATGGACTGCAGCACCCCAGGCCTCCCTGTCCATCACCAACTCATGGAGTTTACTCAAACTCATGTCCATTGAATCGGTGATACCATCTAACCGTCCCATCCTCTGTCATCCCCTTCTCCTCCTTCCTTCAGTCTTTCCCAGCACCAGGGTCTTCTCAAATGAGTCAGTTCTTCGCATCAGGTGGGCAAAGTATTGGAGTTTCAGCTTCAACATCAGTCCTTCCAATGAACGTCCAGGACTGATCTCCTTTAGGATGGACTGGTTGGATCTCCTTGTAGTCCAAGGGACTCTCAAGAGTCTTCTCCAACACCGCAGTTCAAAAGCATCATTACTTTGGTGCTCAGCTGTCTTTATAGTCCAACTCAACTTTTCCGTGACTACTGGAAAAACCATAGCTTTGAGTAGACAGACCTTTGTTGGCAAAGTAATGTCTCTGCTTTTTAATATGCTGTCTAGGTTGGTCATAGCTTTTCTTCCAAGGAGCAAGCGTCTTTTAATTTCATGGCTGCAGTCACCATCTGCAGTGAATTTGGAGCCCCCAGAATTAAAGGCTGTCACTGCTTCCACTCTTTTCACTGTTTCCCCATCTAATTGCCATGAAGTGATGGGACCAGATGCCATGATCTTAGTTTCCTAAATGTTGGGTTTTAATCCAACTTTTTCACTCTCCTCTTTCACTTTCATCAAGAGGCTCTTTAGCTCACACACACAGTGAAGATCCAGGCGTTTAGGAATGCAGAGTCCCACCTCAGGCCTCTCTCCACACGTTCACCCCCTCCTCAGAGAGGCGCCCCCTCCTCCTCAGGGCTGAGGGGACACACAGAGGAAGGAGGACTCTGCCCCCCAGGGGGAAGGCCCACAGGGGAGGGCCCCTGCTGTCCTGCACAGAAGGAGACCCACCTTCCCGCTCCGGGGCCGGCACTGCCCTGACCTGATCCTGATCTGAGAGGAATCTGCATCTCAGACGCCCCTCGGTCCTGACCCCTGAGCAGTCACGGAAGCCATGGACAGACTCGCCCTGAGGATTTGAGAGGAGCCCATGATGGCCCTGAGCTCACGGGGACACAGGAGGGGCACCTGGCCTGGTGCTAAAGAGGGGACAGCGCCCAGAGCAGGGGGCAGGATCTGTCCTTGAGGGCTCTGGTCTCCAGGTCACAGGATGTGTGTCTGGGCCTGGACGAGGGGGTAGGGGGCGCTCGGGGTCCACTCCTGAAGATGGCTGGTGGGAGGCACGATGGGCCCCCTGACAGAGCTCCCTGACAAGGCCTCGTGGCCTCTGCTCAGGGCTCCCAGCTGTGACCTCCCATTGCTGGGGCCCACAGAGCCCCACCCCTGACAACACTCTGGCCGCCCTGAGGCATAGAGACGGGCCCAGGGCCCAGGGAGGGGTCAGTGTGATGCACGGGATCGTCTGCATGAAAGGAGCCTCCCCTCTCACAGTATGAAGAGGGAAGGAGCGGTGTGGGGACGCGCTGCTCAGCTCTGGGGCCACAGAAGGCAGGACGCCCTGACCGTGTCCACCATGGCCGGGTCCCCTCTGCTCCTCACCCTGGTCGCTCTCTGCACAGGTGACTGGATGGGGGGACAGGGGAAGGGTCCTGGGAAGACTCACGGGCTGGGCTCCGTTCTCTCGTGTCTGGACCCCAGAGTCACCATCTCTGTCTCTCCCCCTTCCAGGATCCGGGCCCAGGCCGTGCTGACTCAGCCACCCTCCATGCCCGGCACGTTGGGACAGAGGGTCACCATCTCTTGTACTGGAAACAGGAGCAACACTGGGGGTCATTATGTCAGCTGGAACCAACAGCTCCCACGGTCGGCCACAGACTCCTGACTAGTGAAAGCAGCAAGCAACTCTCAGGGGTCCCAGATCGATTCTCTGCCTCGAAGTCTGGCAAGTCGGCCTCTCTGACCACTTCAGTTCAGGCTGAGGACGACACTGATTATTACTGTTTCTCATGGGCTGACGGCTTGAAAGTGCACGGTGCTTCAGGCCAGAGTGGAAGGAGACAAAAACCTGCTTCCGCACAGCCAGGGGCTCCCAGGGCAAGGTGTTTGTCCCTCCCTTCCTGGGGTCCCTGAGAGCACGGAACCCAGCAGACTGAGTGTCCCCTGACTGCAGCACAGCTGCCCCCTCAGCTCGACTCCCCTCCCCAGGGCAGCGGCTCACAAGGGGTGGTCACACACCCCTGGATGAAGGAGCTGCTGGCAGAAGTTGCCCCCGGTTCCCAGGTCAGAGTCAGCAGCACAGAGCAGGGCGGTCAGTGCCGCCCTTGCTGGGTCAGTGGGCAGTGAACACACCTCCCTGACCTTCTGCCACAGGAGGATCTCCTGTTAAAGGAAAAGGAAATGGAATTCAGAGTTTCTTCAAGTAATTTCCACACAGTCCAAGATCCAGTAAAAATTGTCACTTCTATCAAGAACCAGGAAATTAAATATTGAGGGGAAGTGAGATGGCATAGACATCAACACTGAGATGCCTCAGACGATGAAATCAGGTGGCAGATATTTTTAGGGACAATTCATCAAATCTATTTGATGAGCAAATACAAACACTCTTGGGTCCAAAGGAAAAGGAGATAAATGGAGGGGGAAAAAAAAAGAATCATGAGAAAATGTAGCCAGAATCATTTGAAAACCAAATACATGAAAATAAAGGATAATTCTCTGTATGTTATCAAAGACATGTAAAATTTATTATTTAATTTATTTATTTGTATATTGGCAGAGTATTTGGTGACAGGACAAAGAGGCAGCCCCTCCTTCCTCAAAAGGCTTCCCAGGTGTCACTAGTGGTAAGGAAGCCTCCTGCCAACGCAAGAGTCATAAGAGATCTGGGCGCTGTCCCTGGGTTGGGAAGATCCTCTGGAGCAAGAAACGGCCACCCACTTCAGTGTTCCTGTCTAGAGAGTCCCGTGGACAGAGGGGCCTGGTGGGCTGCAGTCCATGGGGTCACAAGAGTCAGACAGGATTGAGAACCAAGCAACTGAGCAGCGCCTTGCTCACAGTCTCACCACCGTGACTGTTCCCCAGACGGGCCACCAGGGGCGCTGTGCGCGTGCTCAGAACTGGCAAAGCCCGAACACACCCACGTGGTCCCCTGACCTGGCCCTGCACCCGGGCTCAGCGCCCTGAGTTGGACGAGACAGCAGGCGCTTCCTCCAAGGGGACAGACTCAGAGCCTCGGCCCCCAGGCCTCCTCCTGGGAGTGACGCTGCACACGGGGCCGAGCACCCAGAATTGGAGGGTGAAGGGGTCAGGTGGTCATCAGTCCCCATCCTCGTCCCAGAAACAGGGGAGGGGAGGAGCCCCCGGGGCCCGCCCCGTGCCCCCCTCCAGCTCTGCTCAGCCTGCCCCTGCTCCTCCTCACCTCTTTGCTAAGAGTCTCCGCTCCCGCTCCCCTCATTCGTGACTTTCCCCAATCCCGAGACTGTGTCTCTACAAAACAGCACTGTTGACCTCCACGGTCATGACCAAGCTCAGTCTGGCAGAAGGTCACGGACAGGTGTCCAGATCTTCCTGAACTGGACACTCACTTCCTCCACCCCTCCTTGAACCTCTGTAGCCCTTCCTTCCCAGGAAGCCTCAGGTCTCTGGGTCTATGTGTGACCCAAGTTCGTTATCCCTCTGCTCCTCTCCAGGTTCCCCTTGTTTCCCAGAGGATCCACGAAGCCCTCTAGTGGCTGATTTATCCTGTGAATGCTCACACTCTGATCTCTGTGCCCGTCAAGTGAGGAATCAGGTGGGGAGAGAAACCGTGGTCCTGAGATGCGGGAAATGATTCTGTGCTCAGCTGCTGTGGGACTGATTTTATGCACAGTGAGCAGAGAAGCTGTTGGGGCCCTGGGCTGGGAAAGCAGGTGCCCTCCTGGGGCTCTGACCCGGGGCCATCACTGCTGCTCCCACCGGACCACGTCTAAGTCAGGTTTGCTCCCCGTGGTCACGTCTGAGTGTCCTGAGGACCACTGACCTGCCTTGTCATGTCCTGTGTCTCATCTCAGATCTGAGACCGATCCGTGGCTCTGATAACTCAGCCTGCCCTGTTTTCACAGATAGAACGTCCTGCTAAGACATGAAAATCCCTCAGTGGAGACCCATAACTGTTAGAGAGGCTGGTTCTGGCCCCGCCTCGCTCAGGGTCCAGTATAATTAAGAACGCCAATATCTTTGTGAAAATGTTATTTTACTTGATAATAAATTTCATAAGATACCTCTCGTGATTTAGTTAGAATTATCATATTTAATGAGCAAAGACTATAAAGAATGTTGTGTTTTATAAACAGTACCGTGGCAATGCAAATTAAAACAGAACCAGAGTCAGAGTCAACTTAGTGACTGAACAACAACATTTCTTTCAGTTATATTTATGCCCCTTAGATTAAGCCTTAGATTTTTACAAATCCATTACCACATGTTGGTTCATTTGAAATCTCAAAGTCACACACCCATAGTGTAACACGCACACGCACTATAGGCTGAACTATAGTTGGCTGTCCTTTTCCAACCAAATAATTTCTAAACTGTCATTTCAAAACCAGATCTGGGAAGGTTGACTCGAAGAGCTCTGATCACCTGGTCACAGGAAGTGTGTCTGGGCTGGACACCAGGGGACATTCCCAGGCACTTCTGAAGAGTCCTGCACCCACAGTGTAGCACGGGGTGGGGGTGGTCATTTGCATGAAGGGCTCCCAGCGGTGACCTCCCACTCCCAAGCCCCACAGAACCCCGCCCCTGATCTGGCTACCCCGAGGGACAGGGCCCTGACCCAGGGCCCAGGGAGGCGTCAGAGAGCCAGGGGCGGGGGGTCATTTGCATGAAAGGAGCCTCCCCCTCTCACAGTATGAAGAGGGAAGGAGCGGCGTGGGGACGCGCTGCTCAGCTGTGGGGCCACAGACGGCAGGACGCCCTGACCGTGTCCACCATGGCCTGGTGCCCTCTGCTCCTCACCCTGGTCGCTCTCTGCACAGGTGACTGGATGGGGGGACAGGGGAAGGGTCTTGGTAAGACACTCATGCTGTGTGCCCCGCTCTTGTGTCTGGACCCCCGAGTCACCATCTCTGTTTCTCTCCCTTCCAGGATCCTGGGCGCAGGCTGTGCTGACTCAGCCGTCCTCCGTGTCCGGGTCCCCGGGCCAGAGGGTCAGCATCACCTGCTCTGGAAGCAGCAGCAACATCGGTGGTAATAGTGTGGGCTGGCTCCAACAGATCCCAGGATCGGCCCCCAGAACCCTCATCTATGGTAGTACCAGTCGACCCTCGGGGGTCCCCGACCGATTCTCCGGCTCCAAGTCTGGGAACACAGCCACCCTGACCATCAGTTCGCTGCAGGCAGAGGACGAGGGGGATTATTTCTGTGCAACTTATGACGACAGTATCAGTGGTAACACGGTGCTCCAGGCCAGGGGGGAAGTGAGACAAAAACCTCTTCTCCCCACAGTCATGGGCCTCCTGGGGCTGATCCATCCCCTGTCAAAGCAACCAATATATAACATTTTGGTGAAGGGCGGGTAGTTCAGTGCAATCAGGTGCTTACTTTACAAGAGGCCTTCTGCTAGTCACAAGGAGCTGATGTCCCCATGAAGGAATTTAGTGATTTTCTGGATTGAAGAAATGCAAGCACTGGGATCATGAAACCAGTTCCTGAAAATATCTAACTACCTATAGACCTGTTCCACTGGTTTCCCTGGAGCACCAAGGGCCTCGCTCTGCACCCTGAACTCGTTTCATGAAGCGGCGAAGGTCAGCAGGTGCAGCTGCATAGGCAGTTGACAAGCACTCTAGTTGCTGTTGTTCAGCTGTTAGCAAATGCTCTTGACAAGTGCCTGTTTGTAGTTGACAGTAATAGTTCCTGTTTTCCTGTTCTTTCTTAGAACTTTAGTAATTTGTTTATTTATGGCTGCATGGGGTCTTCATTGCTCATGAGCTTTTCAGGTGGCTGGGAGCTCTAGTTACTTTTCCTCGGTATGCAGTCTTTTCATTGTGGTGGCTTCTCTTAATCAGAGCACAGGTTCCAGGTGAGCAAGCTTCAGTGGTTGGGGCTCTGGGGCTTAATTGTCCCTCAAAATGTGGAATCTTTTTTTTTTTCCATGTTAGAAATTTTTATTCCCCGTCTAAGATTTCACTGTCAGTATGATAGCAAGGAGTGGCTGACTGGACAGTGTAAACAATCTGACACTAAATGACGAGGTCAGAAGATCCTTAAACACGGCTATGACTTTTGTCCCTAATGTCCTCCTTCAGGCCTGTGGTGCTCCTGCCAGGAAAGCGTGATCATTGTCTGTTTGCAAGGAACCATCAGACGAGCCCAGCTGGAGGGTTATCCTCTGGGATGAGAGGTGTATCCTATGAAACTGCGAGGAACACAAAAGACAGGTCAAGACAGAGGAATGAGTCCAGATTGGGAGAGGCTGGCTGCTGCTGCTAAGTCACTTCAGTCGTGTCCAGCTCTGTACGACCCCATAGATGGCAGCCCACCAGGCTCCTCTGTCCATGGGACTTTTCCAGGCAAGAGTACTGGAGTGGATTGCCATTGCCTTCTCCAGAAATGTGGAATCTGTGGAATCTTTACAGACCCGGTACTAAACCCATGTCCCCTCCATTGGCAACCTTAAACAATGGATCACAGGGATCACAAATCGTGCAAATGTCGCTTTTATGTGTTTTATGTAACAGTTGTATGTACAACCCTTTGCTTCCTCAAGAACCACAAATTTTTCATGCTTTTCAATATAATATCTATATATAAAGTGTATCTATGGGAAGCCTGGAATTGCTGAAGTTTGTTTCATATTTCCAGGTTCCTATGCAATATTGTTCTTTACAGCATCAGACCTTGCTTTTATCACCAGTTAGAATGTTACAAATGTTAGGTCCATGAATCAAGGCAGATTGGAAGTGGTCAAATAGGAGATGGCAAGAGTGAACGTTGACATTCTAGGAATCAGCGAACTAAAATGGACTGGAATGGGTGAATTTAACTCAGATGACCATTATATCTACTACTGTGGGCAGGAATCCCTTAGAAGAAATGGAGTAGCCATCATAGTCAACAAAAGAGTCCAAAATGCAGTACTTGGAAGCAATCTCAAAAACGACAGAATGATCTCTGTTCGTTTCCAAGGCAAACCTTTCAATATCATAGTAATCCAAGCCTATGCCCCAACCAGTAATGCTGAAGAAGCTGAAGTTGAACGGTTCTATGAAGACCTACAAGACCTTTTAGAACTAACACCCAAAAAAGATGTTCTTTTCATTATAGGGGACTGGCATGCAAAAGTAGGAAGTCAAGAAACACCTGGAGTAACAGGCAAATTTGGCCTTGGAGTACAGAATGAAGCAGGGCAAAGGCTAACAGAGTTTTGCCAAGAGAATGCACTGGTCATAGCAAACACTGTCTTCCAACAACACAGGAGAAGACTTTACTCATGGACATCACAGGATGGTCAACACCGAAATCAGATTGATTATATTCTTTGCAGCCAAAGATGGAGAAGCTCTATACAGTCAGCAAAAATAGGACTGGGAGCTGACTGTGGCTCAGATCATGAACTCCTTATTGCCAAATTCAGACTTAAATTGAAGAAAGTGGGAAAACCACTAGACCATTCATGTATGACCTAAATCAGATCCCTTATGATTATACAGTGGAAGTGAGAATTAGACCCCTACGAGCTCCTGGGTCTGGCTGTCCTGTTGCTTCAGACTTGAGTCAGATCCTCTACTATATAGTCTTTCCCAAGCTGGTTTTAGAAAAGGCAGAGGAACCAGAGATCAAATTGCCAACACCCGCTGAATCATCGAAAAAGCAAGAGGGTTCCAGAAAAACATCTACTTCTGCTTTATTGACTATGCCAAAGCCTTTGACTGTGTGAATCACAATAAACTGTGGAAAATTCTGAAAGAGATGGGCATACCAGATCACCTGACCTGCCTCTTGAGAAACCTGTATGCAGGTCAGGAAGCAACAGGACATGGAACAACAGACTGGTCCAAACAGGAAAAGGAGAACGTCAAGGCTGTATATTGTCACCCTGTTTATTTAACTTATATGCAGAGTACATCGTGAGAAACGTTGGGCTGGATGAAGCATAAGGTGGAATCAAGATTGTCAGGAGAAATATAAATAACCTCAGATATGCAGATGACACCACTCTTATGTCAGAAAGTGAAGAACTAAAGAGCCTCTTGATGAAAGTGAAAGAGGAGAGTGAAAAAGTCGGCTTAAAGCTCAACATTCAGAAAACTAAGATCATGGCATCCGGTCCATCCCTTCATGGCAAACAGATAGGGAAACAGTGGAAACAGTGGCTGACTTTATTTTGGGGAGTTCCAAAATCACTGCAGGTGGTGACTGCAGCCATGAAATTAAAAGACGCATACTCCTTGGAAGGAAAGTTATGACCAACCTAGACAGCATATTAAAAAGTAGAAACATGATTTTACCAGCAAAGGTCCGTCTAGTTAAGGCTATGGTTTTTCCAGTGGTCATGAATGAATGTGAGAGTGGGACTATAAAAAAGTTGAGCACTGAAGAATTGATGCTTTTGAACTGTGGCATTGGTGAAGACTTTTGAGAGTCCCTTGGACTGCAGGGAGATCCAACCAGTCCATCGTAAAGGGGATCAGTGCTGAATGTCCTTTGGAAGGAGTGATGTTGAAGCTGAAACTCGAATACTTTGGCCACCTGATGTGAAGAGCTGACTCATTTGAAAAGACCCTGATGCTGGGAAAGATTGAGGACAGGAGGAGAAGGGGACAACAGAGGATGAGGTGGTTGGATGGCATCGCCAGCTCGATGCACATGAGTTTCGGCAGACTCTGGGAGTTGGTGATGAACAGGGAGGCCTGGCTGTGGTGGTCCACGGGGTCGCAAATAGTTGGACACGACTGAGCGACTGAACTGAACTGAGCTGAACTGTTACATATTTCCAGTAAATAAGGATACATTGTCTTTTTGTGTAATAATTCCATGATAAAATTTTCTGTTTTTCTAAGTATTTTAACGTTTTTTTAAATTTTTCTCTACTAGAGCCAATGTTCGACCTTCTTATAAAAGTATGAATTTCATCTCTTTTTCTGCAACATTTTCCCACATGCCACAGGAGGCCTGTGGGACTGCCCTGGGGTCCCTTCACAATTGCTCAGGGAGCACCACTCACTCCAGGAGGCTGGGCTGGGGCGGGGCCTGTGCTCCTGGAGGGACTCAGCTGTGCGTCCTCTCTGGCTGCAGAGTCCCCTGAGCAGGGAGCTGTGTGGTCTCAGCAGGTGCCTCCTCCCAGGGGATCAAAGAGGGCAGCCCCTACCTCACCCGAGTCTGGGCTGTGAGCTGAGCTCCAGCACCAGGGCCAAGGAGGGGCTGGGTGGGCCCTGGGTGGGCCCCATTTGCCTGGCAGCCCCTCCTCTGAGGCTGGGGGAGAACGGGAGGCCTGGGGCAGCCCACCCCACTGTGGGGACCAGGGTCCTGTGGGCACCGTCGCCTGGACTCCGCTCCTGCTCGTGCTCAGGTCACAGGTGGTGACGGGCCCCGGGCGCCAGGGCTCGGTCCCCGGCCTGCATCGGCCCCCGGGGCGCAGACTCCCGGAACCTTTCCTGCAGCTCCTGCCCCGTCGCCCCGCGTCTGTGTCTGCGGGCTCCGTCTCCCAGCCTGGGCTGGCTCAGCCCGCCTCCCTGTCCGCGTCTCCGGGAGCATCAGCCAGACTCTCCCGCACCCTGAGCAGCGGCTCCAGTGGTGGCGCCTATGCTTTATACTGGAACGAGCAGAACTCAGGCGGGCCTCCTCAGTAAGTCCTGAGGCTCTATTCAGACTCCAGTAAGTATCAAGGCTCCGGGGTCCCCAGCCGCTCCTCTGGATCCAAGGCTGCCTCAGCCAACGCAGGGCTCCTGCTCACCTCGGGGCTGCAGCCAAGGACGAGGCTGACCATTTATTGTTCAGCCTATCACAGGAGCACAGATACTAACAAGGTGCTCCAGACACACAAGGAAGTGAGACCAAAACGTCCCCCGCGCCCTCCCCGTGGGGCCATCCCTGCTGCTCCGTCTGGACCACGTGTAACTCTGATTAACCTCCTATGGTCACTTCTGAGCTTCCCAAGAACAACAGATCTGACCGCTCATGTTCTGTCCCTCCTCTCAGATCTGAGACTGACCGATGGTTCAATACCTCAGCCCTCTCTGTTTACAGACAGAAATCTCTGCTCAGACATAAAAATTTCCCAGTGGAACTGTAATAAGTGGCAGAAAGAGGCTGCTACCAGCCCTGCCTCACTCAGAGGGCAAAAAATTAAACAATTTTTAAAAAATTAAGAATGCAAATATCTTTGTAAAAATTCTATATCATCTGTGAAGAAATAAAGCTTCATAGGATACATGCTGTGTCATTGAATTACAATGTTCTTAATAAAAGGAGATCAGTCCTGGGTGTTCATTGGTAGGACTGATTTTGAAGCTGAAACTCCAATACTTTAGCCAACTGATGCGAAGAGCTGACTCATTTGAAAAGACCCTGATGTTGGGAAAGATTGAAGGCAGGAAGAGAAGGTGACAACAGAGGCTGAGACGGTTGGATGGCATCACCGACTCAATGGACATGAGTTTGGGTGGACTTTGGCAGTTGATGATGGACAGGGAGGCCTGGCGTGCTGCAGTTCATGGGGTCGCAAAGAGTCAGACAGGACTGAGCAACTGAACTGAACTGAACTGAATTCATGTACACGTTCTGATACATTTAAAATCTCAAAAGCCACACATCTGCAGTGTAACACGCACACGCCTTGCAGGGCAAACTACAGTCAGCTGGTCTTTCCCAGTAGAGCAGTCCCTGAACTGTACCTTCTCAAGCCCACTATTTGGGAGGGTTGATCCTAACAGCCATCATGTATCAGACTCCCTGGGAACAGAAGTTGCTCAGAGCCCTTCAGAGTCTCATTAAACGCTGCCAGGCCCATCACCAGCCTGCTCCCTGCAGCCTATGCCCTGTGCCTGCGGGAGAGACGCCCAGGAGGGGTCCCGTCATAAGACAGGATGTGAACACGGGGCCCAGTGTGTGGAAAGGCTCATTCACAGTAGAGACGCAGGCGTTTAGGAATTCAGGGTCACAGCCTAGGCCGCTCCCCACACCCTCCTCCCCTCCTCCTCAGGGCTGAGGGGACAGACAGAGGAAGGAGGGCTCTGGCAACCAGGGAGAGCCCCAAAGAGAAGGGACCCCTGTCCTGCACAGACAGGGACGGGCCTCCCGGGAACAGAACGGCCCCGATCTGATCCTGATCTGAGAGGACTTTATGTCCCGGACGCCCCCTCACCCCAGCCCCGGAGCAGCCAAGAGAGAAGTGGAGACTCTCGTCGTGAAGGGTCTGCGGAGAGCCCACAGTTGGCCCTGAGGGCACAAGGGGCCCGGGAGGGGCGCCCGGCCTGAGCCGCAGGCGGGCGCAGAGCACAGAGCGGCGCAGGCGCTTTCCATGAGGGACCCTGGTCACCGGGTCACAGGATGTGTGTCTGCGCCCGGACACCGGGGCGCGCCCGGGCCGCCCCTGACAGTCAGGGGTGAGAGCTGGGCCCGGCGCTGACTGCCCGGGGGCCTCTGCTCAGGGCGCCCAGCTGTGACCGCCCACCCACGGGCGGCCCACAGCCTGCCCCTACCCACGCCCGGGCTTCCCTCAGACACAGGGACCTGACCCAGGGCCCAGGGAGGGTCAGAGAGCTGGGGGTTTGGGAGGGGCGGGTGATTTGCATGAAAGGAGTCTCCCCTCTCACAGTATGAAGAAGGGAAGGAGCGGCGTGGGGACGCGCTGCTCAGCTGTGGGGCCACAGACGGCAGGACGCCCTGACCGTGTCCACCACGGCCGGGTCCCCTCTGCTCCTCACCCTGGTCGCTCTCTGCACAGGTGACTGGATGGGGGGACAGGGGAAGGGCCCTGGGAAGATACACGGGCCCTGCTCCCTGCTCTCGTGCCTGGACCCCAGAGTCACCATCTCTGTCTCTCTCCCTTCCAGGATCCTGGGCGCAGGCTGTGCTGACTCAGCTGCCCTGTGTGTCTGGGTCCCCGGGCCAGAGCATCACCATCTCCTGCTCTGGAAGCAGCAGCAATGGTGGATATGGCAATAAGGTGGGCTGGTAACAACTGATCACAGGATCATCCCCCAGAACCCTCATCTATTATGTTACCAGTCGAGCCTCGGGGGTTCAGGTCTGGGAACACGGCCACCCTGACCATCAGTTGGCTGCAGGCTGAGGACGAGGGGGATTATTACTCTGCAGCCGCTGAGAGTAGGAGCTATGATGGCACAGTGCTCCAGGCCAGGGGGGAAGTGAGACAAAAACCTGCTCTCCCCCAGACATGGGCCTCCCAGGGATGAACCATCCTCTGCCAATGCAGACACTTCTGTTGTCTGTTTTATTTAAAACGGGGGTCTGAGCCTCACACCAGGGATTTGGTAGACAAAATATTTTCAGATCTTCTTCATTCTGCCCCCTCACCAAGGCTTTCCTTAGGCAACCACATATTATATGATTCTCTAAAATCGAGCAGAAGGCCCTGAATGCCAGAGGCAGGTCCTGGCAGAGAGAGTCCCTGACAGTCAGGTCAGAACCAGAGAGATATAGTCTAGCTGAGTCTAATTCAGGACACTTCAGCTCCTTGGCCATCCCTGGGCTGAGCTGAGACCCAGGCTGCTTCTCCTGCCTTTCCTGTGACTGCCTCTCAGGCTCCCCCAGAGCTCCAGGCCTGGGGGAACTAGACCAGGTTCCTCTCCCACTGGGGGCGCTGGGGCAGCCTAGGGGCTTCCTGCTGAGGCTCTGCTGGAGCTTCTGCTGCTGTTGCTCCACCCTGGGTCCAGGTCATCAGGGGCGCTGCCTGTGCATGGAGGCTCGTCCTCTCCCCTCTGTCCTCAGAGTCCCTCCAGCAGCCCATTCCCAGGAGAGGGTCTCAAAGGAAACAGAAAATCTGTGTCCCCATCACTGGGGACACAGGGTCTGTTTGTGTCAATCTCAGGGTCCGAGGTGGGAGATCCGTCTGACATCATCTCAGGCCTGGGAGGCCCCCACTGCCCTCTGCCCTCTCTCCTGCACTGGGAGCAGGTCCTGCTCTCAGCCTCCTCTGTCCCTCGTGGTGTCTGTGGCTCAGGCACGGTGGACTCAGCCAGGTTCGGTGACTCTGTGGACACTCAGCCACACTCACCTGCCTGGAAACAGCAACACTGTTGGCACCAAGGGGGCAACTTGGCTGCTGTCTCACTCGTGCTGAGTCCCGAACTCCTGACCACAGGAGTCATAACCAGCCCTCAGGGGCTCAGCGAGGCTGTCGGGCTCTGGGTCAGCTGGGGTCCCCTGACCATCTCTGGGCTCCAGCCCAAGGACAAGGCTGATTGTTCCTGCTCAGCTGGGACTCAGCCCTGCTGCTCACAGCAGGCCTCAGGCCAGGAGGAAGTGACCGTGAACCCTGAGCTCCCGGGCTCACCCCCGGGTGGGGTCACAGAGCACAGGTCACCACGCCTGTTCCTGGTCCCTCTCACTGTCCTTTCACACGTGCGCGCAGGGTCTGCACAGTTGGCCAGGCTGGGCTGTGGGCCACAGTCAACAGTGATGTATTTTCGATGTGGGATTATTCCTTCTAATTCTCCCTTTTCCCTTAAGCCTTAAATTTGCCTTATCCTCAATTTTCATACACACAAAATGACATATTTTCCACTGTATCAGAGGAACTTTGTTTAATAGGCTCCAAACCGAACAGTGTAGATCTTTGGCTGATGGAATCGGGCCTCAGACACAGATACTGAGAAAGGAACACAATTACCTCATGTTGTGGGAGGGAGACACTGTAGCAGCAGCTCAGAAATGGACATAAAATTGTATTTTGTTTTACACGGTGAGAATAAGAATGTTGTGGCTGCACTTCACAACTTACTGCCAAGGTTTTCACCCTAAAATCCCTCATCTGCTCTTCTCAGTCCTTCCGCTCCTTGTAAGATCATTTAGAGGAAAGGGAATTTAGAATACTACACAACAATCACCCCATCTTGTTCAGACACATGATCATTTTCAGATCCGCTCGTGAGTCATGAGTTCTTCTGTTATTTTTATTTGATATTTTGGAAAATCTTAATTTCATAGTTGTATTGTTAACTTAATTTTTATGTATATTGAGTCCATCCCCATTTATTGATGGTTTCTCTCACCACACAATAGCTGATTCCCTGGTGCTGGTGTGGGTGTCAACATTGGATCAGCAGCCCTGAACCACGGACTGTTGAGACCATCAGTGGTGTCACAGCCTGTGTGTGGGGAGACCCCTGACCCCCCAGACCACAGGTGACGCTGTGGCTCCCTGCAACCTGAGCAGAGACATCACTGTCGCCGCTGTACTCTGTCCTGGGACCAGCAGAAGCCTGCGAGGCCTCCTCAGTCCTCCTGTCCTACCACTCAGACTCCAGGAAGAACCAGGCTCCGGGGTCCCCGCAGGTTTTCTGGATCCAAAGGTGCCTCGGATGATTTAGGGCTACTATTCATCTCTATGCTGGATCCTGAGGCCGAGGCTGACTCTGACCACGCAGGCTGGTACAACAGGGCTTCTCACAGAGACACAGGCAGATGGGAACTGGGACGAGAACCTCAGCCTGTCAGGGGCTTGTTCTTAGAGAACTGTCAAATTTCAAATAAATTCCCCAGAATCAATGAATTCCTGGGGCATGTTCTAGTTCATAAGTCTACTCCCAATTGCACAGTCAGTTTTGCTGAAGTCTCAGAAAATGTAAACAGATTCTGGTACCACTGAAGTGCACCCCGATCATCCGTGTGATCAAGAGAGCCATGGAGCTGAGCTCCCTCAGCTGAGATCAGGAGCACGAGGCTTTCCCAGATGCGCCTGCAGCAGTCTGTGCACCATCCCAGCAGGCAGATTGTCCCCAGGGCGTGAACTCTGCTCCTGAAAGGTCAGAGCAGAGACCCTGAGGAGTGAGGGGCACCGGTGATACATCGCAGGAGGCAGGGAACCCTGGGAGTGGTTCTCCTGACCCACACCTGCTGGCTCTGTCCTGCCCTCCCCATCTCCTCTCCACCCCATTGGAGCATTTCCTACTTCAGGATTGGGGTGGTCTGTGGACTGTCAGGAGCAGGGGCTCCCCAAGATATGCCCTCGTCCCTCTGCTTGTGATGCCCTTGATGAGCCCAGATCCAGGGACACTGTCTCCTGCAGAGGGAGCAGCAGGGACCTCGGGATCCCCATGGCAATGATGACCAGGGATGCCAGGCAAAGCCCTGCCTTTGTGACCCAGGACAGAGGTGAGGGACACTGAGAGGTTTGGCCCTGCTCTCCTGCTGCTGGTGGGTCCACATGCCCTCCTTGATCACTTGGACCCCATCCCGATGAGGAGACTGGTCATCAGTGTCACACAGCTCACCACTAAACACAGCCACAAGGAGTCCCCGTGTGATGGGGATGTCTGATGAAAGTTTGCCCTCTACTCCAGGGTGGGACCCATCACTGCCCTGAGCCTGACGGTGACATCAGCAGTGCTGGGTTAGGTCTCTGCGGTCACTTGTGCTGTTAAATCCAAGCAGTCTCACCTATCCAGGTGCATCTTTATGGGGTCCATGAAATTGTCTGCCTTTCTCTCTGGCCTCCAAATCCAAGCAGAATCCCCATGTGCCCAGATACACAGGGTCCCTCACAGGTACTGAGCAGGATGTGGAGGAAGCAGAAGTAAAGCATCTGTGCCCTGGAGCCCCAGGGGGCCTCTCCCATCCCCCGCACATCCCTCTCCTGCTCCAGGCTTTGTGCTCTGCCTGAACCCTGACCCTTAGGGAAGCTGGGTCTTCCCTCTCACCGGGGATTTCTGCCTGAGGAGCCCACCTCTCTGGGAACTGGGAGACCTTCCCCATTAGGATGCAGCTCTCAGACTCCTCACTTGTTCATTTCCACCTCTTTTGCTTCATGATCCCCCTTTTCCCTCCCTGGTTCCTTGTTTGAGATGATATTGGATAAATGTCACTATTTTGGACACATACCTTATAAACTCACCTCCATTAAATCTCCATGGATTCTAACAATTGAAGTTTAGAAGGTTAGACTTCACTATGTCAGTTAAGATCAGGTAATGGTCATAAGGGTTTCTCAACTAGAGATGAAACAGGAGCCCAGACAAGGATGAGATTCCCATTTCTAGGCATAATCTTTTATATCAAACATTTAATATGGAAAGATTACAGAATTAGACTAAAAACATCTTTAAATATCTGAGTCAAAAAGAAGCACTGTGAGGACCATGATCAAGGGTAAATGAGAACCCCTGGAAGAGATCAGGAAGAGATTTGTTTTACCTGAGAGCCTCCTATTCTCTTTGCAAAGAGAGAAATAAGAACACAGCCATGCAGCCTGGGCTGGGAAGGTCCTGGGAGGCCCTGCAAATTCAGCCTTGACTACGTATCAACCTGGGAAGGAAACTCAGACAGAATCATAACCAGGCACAACCCATGGGCACGCTGGGTGTTAGAATCCTGGGACTTGGTTCAGGTGATTGTGTTCTGTAGTGAACCCACGAGCTAGGCAGAGCAAACTCAGACCTCAGGGAATCCTGAAATTCATTACTTTATCAGCATACCGTTCAGGGGTCTGAGGTCATTAGGTACCTTGAAAAATCAGTGACCAGGTCCAAACTCGATGAAGGGGACTCATTCTACTGCCCTGGGCGGTGACATCAGAATGACCCTCCTGCGAGTGTGAGAAAGCCCTCCCAGGAGGCTGTGGAGGGAAGCGCGGGAGGAGCAGCTCTGAGTCCGGCAGGGGGCGCTGTGCGCCTGGTCCTGAGAGCGCAGGGTCCTGGCCAGGCAGGCTGGCGCCTCCTCCCCTGGTCTTACCCACGCGGGCAGCGGGGTCCTCACTGGAGGGTGACGTTCCTGCACCTGGGCCCCCAGGAGATGCGGCAGCTCTCAGCTCAGAGCCACAGGCTTGCCGCTCAGTTCCTGCTCCTCTGTCGTGGGGTCAGTGCCCAGACCTGACATCCAACCAAGGACAGAGGGACGGTCATACAACAGAAATGAACTTCCTTCGGTAACCTCGACCTCCAGGGATACCTGGACAGGGGATGAGAGACCCCTGCAGAGGGGCTGCCCCACTGCCCACAGAACGCCCGGTGTTCACAGTGGGAGAGGGATGCAGGCAAGGACCCTCTGTCACCACCTATGTCATTTGAAATTATCCCTGTTGTGTTATTTGGCAATTTCAACATTTTGTAGTGAACTATGGAAACTGATATTGTTTCAGTTTTGGGGGCTTCCTTACTCGTTCCTTCCTGTTATATTAATACTTTATATTCACACTTGTAACATGAAATATATGAAATCACAAGTTCTGCCAAACTGTCATCAATATGTTGCTATAATAAGAAAAGAATTAAGTAGGAATTCACATTATTCACATTATTCTATGAGTTGAGGTTCTCAAACACCTCTGACAAAAATCATGTGAATTTTATTAAACAGCTACTTTAGCAGCAAATGTAACATGAATAGAAAGTAAGAATAGTATTTACATTTTTATGTCAAAGAAACAAGAGATGAACAAGACTTTTCCCGTCTCTTCCACTCACGTTAACACTTGAGATGTCTGAGCTGCTTCTCGTCCTCGTTGCCCCCACATCCCTCCCCCCTCCCGAGTCCATCGGCTCCACAGCAGAACCGCAGGGAAGGGAGTTTACAGTGTCCACGGTGCTCAGCACACCTGCCTGTTCACACACGGTGCTCTTCTATTCCTGTGATGAGACGTGTGTGCCAGCTTTGTTGGAACTGAACTTGCCCGCCATCATAACCGCATGAGGACACGGTGACCTTTACCCCTAAAATCCGTGGCTCTGGTGACGCTACTCCCCATGGTCATGGCTGTTCACAGCACAGGAGGCTGTCACCCCAAGCCTGGCCCCGTGTCTCTACATGTCACCCCCCACCTCCAGGCCTGGGCCCCCCACCGCTGGGACTAGAGACACTTTACAAGGTTGTGTTCAAGGGCCACGCCTTACCCTTCACACCAGACACAGTTTCTGGATACTCTACTGGGCTCAGGGCTGGAGGGACAAGGACGGACAGCACACAGAGACGGACACAGCGGTTCCCTGAGAAGGACAGAGTATTCTAAAGATGGGCTCAGGTTTGGGAAAGGCTAGATTATTGGGGCAAGAGAGGACGACTTGCAAACTCCTCCTTCAGCCTCAGACTCTCCAGGGAGGGGATAGAGGACCGAGGTCACCAAGGTCACGGGAGCACGTTTGCTGAAAGACGTCGCCCCATCACTTAGGGGCTCCTTCCGGTTCTGTCCCCGCTCTGTGTGAGGTCCAACATCTGCCTCCTTCAAGTCCCCCCGCCCCAGGGACCTCAGGTGCCCTGGGCCGGGAGAGAAGGAAGTGGTTTGCCTGAGGCCCCTCCTCCTCCTGACGGGCTGGAGGCATGAAAAGGCCCAGGACCCCACCTCCAGCCCAGGAGGCTGAGGAGGCCGCGTCCCGGGAGGGTCCCCACCGTGGCCTGGACGGTGCTTCTGCTCGGGCTGCTGGCTTACGGCTCAGGTCAGCGGCCGGGGCTCTGCACCCTTGGGGCTCCTCCACGCAGGGTCTCAGGGCACCTCATCGCCATAACAACCCCTTTCTCTCTGTCGCTCTTAGCGGTGGAAGCTCAGACTGTGGTCCAGGAACCGCCACTGTCAGTGTCTCCAGGAGGGACGGTCACCCTCACCTGTGGACTGAGCTCTGGGTCAGCCACTACCTACAGCGAACCCAGCTGGTACCAGCAGACCCCAGGCCAGGCTCCCAGAAATGTTATCTACAGCACCAACAGCCGCCCCTCTGGGGTCCCTGATCGCTTCTCTGCCTCCACCTCTGGGAACAAAGCCACGCTCACCATCACGGGGGCCCAGCCCGAGGACGAGGCTGACTATCACTGCTTACTGTACAAGGGTAGTGGTACTTACAGCTGCACAGAGATGGGAGCCCATGGGGAAGTGCTGCTAAAACCTGCCTGTGCTCAGAGGGCTCAGCCTTTAGAGGCAGGAGAGGCAGGAGAGGGCGGAAGTGGTCAGCTCCCCTTTGGGGAGGGAGGCTCCGGGCCCATCTCGTGTCCAGTGGTCCACGGCCCCGCACCTCCTGAAGTCTCTCCCCAGGTGTGTCCAGGTCTCCAAGAGGACGGGTAGAGGGGCTCAGGTACACATTTTATCAACAACATAGAGACTCAGAGACCCCCAACAGCCAGCACGAACCTGCTTGTTCAAAGAGTTTCAAGAGACATACTCAATTTTGTTAACTTGATGATGAAGAATAACGTAACCCCTAAACATTTCTTTATATGTGCGCAATAGCCTGATCCACAGAACACATGCTGATCTGATTATACATCACGTGCTCACAGTCATTGCACTGAAGTTAATCATGGAAAAGAAGCTTTGAAAGCCTGCAAGTCTGATACTGTCCCAGACAGCTCCTGCTCTCTGGAAGTCTTTTCTCAGACTTCTAGGCTTTTTTTATTTTCAAATCTGACATGGTTTCAATATTTTAAAATGACATATTTAATTTTTATGAATTTTATTGACGACCATATTGGTAGCTTTTTCAACACACATATCCGTGTATATATATGTAGAAAACATATATGTATACACATGGATGCGTGTATGTACATGTATTTGACGTTGGAAGTGCTGCTCCCTGAGAAGCGGGGCAGTCGGTGTCAATCGCTAACTGTGCTCATAGCACAGGGCATGGCTGTGTATGTTCCTAGGCTGACGGTGAGCTGGCATCAGCCCGGCCCAGCACCACTTCCACCGAGAGTTGGTCTGTGGGGATTATAAGGGGCGCTGTGGGTCTCCCCAGGGTCTGACCTGTGGGCAGCCCCTGCTGTGTGGCCCCCGCCCCCACCAACTACTAGGTCTGGATGAGTGGGTCTCTGTGTGTGACGGGCACTCAGCAGGGTGTCCTCTCTGGCCTGGGCAGGGTCCCTGCTCACAGGCCACTGTGGATCCCGGGAGATGCTTCCTCATGGTCTCTCCTGGGGGGCAAAGTCTGAATCTCGCCGCCTCAGTCCGATTGACTAAACTCACCCATCAAAGAGGGGAGTTGAAAGAGATCGTGTCTGTGATTCGGGTAAACAGCAACCACAACACCACAACAGGACTGAACCCTTGGCTCTTGATAGAGCGGCCATCCCCGGGCCTGCCGTGAGCTGCTCTACGTGGGGCTTGGTCCCACTTGGGGGATGAAAGGACTTGTGTCCTTGCTCTGGAGGAGGAGACCCGGGATGCGGAGGCGGGAGCCATGAGTGCAGGTCTGGGCTCAGAACAGCAGCAGGAAGGGCTGAGTGGCCAGCACTCCAGCCATGAGCGATCCTGACTCTGAGGTCAGCTCAGCAGGGTGGGTGAAGGGGAGGCTGTGGGCACAGGGGAATCTGTGAGGAAGGGCAGGCAGGCCCTGGATGCAGTGGGGGAGCTTTGAGGGTGCCCCAGTGAATGAGGGAGGTGCAGAGTGTGGCAATGGCACAGTCCGTGATGTCACTTCCCCAGGACCCACCATCTCCAGGGTCCCTCTCCGGGGAGAAGAGCCTTTGGGAGATCCCGCATCTGTGAGAAAGGGGGTGGTGTCATGGTGTCCCCCACAGTCTGTCCCCAGTCCCCCGACGCTTGGTCCCGACGTTTGTGTGGGACGGAGGGGTGTGTGTGTGTGTGTGTGATGGAGGTCTGTGTATGTGTGATGGAGGGGTATGTGTGTGAGATGGAGGTGTGTGTGTATGTGATGGAGGTGTGTGTGCCTGTGTGTGTGATGGAGGGGTTTGTGTGTGTGTGATGGAGGGGTGTGTGTTTGATGGAGGGCTGTGTGTGATGGAGTGGTGTGTGTGTGTGTGTCTGTGTGATGGAGGTGTGTGTGCGATGGAAGTGTGTGTGTGTGATGGAGGTGGGTGTGTGTGATGGAGGGGTGTGTGTGTGTGTGTGAGATGGAGGTGTGTGTGTGTGATGGAGGTGGGTGTGGAGCAGGAAGGGCTGGAGGAGTGTCAGGATCACAGCGTTTACTTTGGGGAGAAGGCACAATCTGGGGCCCGCAGGCAAGGCTTCCTCTGTGCTTCCCTAGTGCCTCAGAGGCTCAGGAAGAACTGGCCCACAGCTGACTCCTAAATATATCCTTTGGGTTTGGTATAAATTCCTGCTCCCTGATCCTCCGGCAGCTGGGCAGGCTTCCTGTGGGCATCGCACACGCAGCCTCCGCCACCCTCCCTCACTGTCAGGCTCGGCTGAATCACTGTCATTTCCTCCATTTCCCTGAGCTGGACGCGGCGACCCGAGAGCCGGCACCAGTTCCTCAGGGGCATCCCAGCCTCGTTCTCGGGCTCCCGTTCTGGCTCCACCGCCTCACTGACCATCTCTGGGCTGCAGGCTGAGGACGAGGCTGACTATTAATGTTCATCTTGGGCCCACGGCCTCAGTGTTCCCACGGTGCCCAGGGCTGTGGGGAAGTGCGACAAAAACCTCCTGGTGGCTGATGGCTCTTTGTGATGACCGGTGTACAGCAGCAGTGAAGGACTGGATTCTCTGTTATATCATCCTCCCCACATTGGAGGGTCTGGAGCTGGGGTCTTGTTGTAGCCACACATTCTGGGAAACAAACTCATTCAGAAGGACAATGCAGTTAGTGGAGTGCAGTTTATTATACTGGCGGGCCCAAGGCAGAGTCTCCTCTTAGCCAATGACCCCGACCAGTTTTTGTGAAATCCTTACATGCCCTAAGGGTACTTGCTCAAGCCCACCTCCCCAAATTCCTTGAAACTAGTCTGGACAAGGTAAGAGATACGATCACAGTTAACCCATGATTCATGTGTCACAAGACTAGATAAACAGTGGATATTTATCAACAGGCCTGTGGTCATATCCCAGTAAACACAGTGGAATTTACCACTTTGTTCTGTTACAGAGATAATTAGCACATTCTTTTAGGCAACAGAGAGTCCAAGTCCAAGTCCTGAGGCTCTTTTATCCGGGGGGTCTGATTTCCCATTGGCTTGCCGTTTCTATAAACATCGGGTACAAAGTTCAGAGTCCACTGGGAGGGTGACCATGCGTGTAGCCTAATGTTAGGAGCCTGGCCTAAGACGGAGTCCAGCTCTGTCTGTTCCTCCTTCAGCCTCAGCACATCCTGTGATGGGATCTGTCTGAGGGCCGCCTCCATGCTGGTCTCACGTCCACTCTGTGTCAACTCCATGGATCCCCTGAGAATCACGAGATGAGAGACTGTCCCCCAGGCTCACACCCTCTGGATGTAAATGGGAATCCCTGATGTACATATGATCACAGTATAAAATCATTCGCATCACTAGACAAGAGACTGACCTCTGATTTTGGTCCTAGGAAGCATTCTATAAGTCCCAGGGATGTCCTGTCTGAGAGAAGGGTCTATGTTTGTCTGGTAACCTTGGACTGGTCAGTTGGGGTTCAGGTAGGCAACTCTGGGTCAAGTACAATTAGGTGCTAAACACAGAGATGATAATTACAAATAATAATAATAAAGCAAAATTTGAAAGTCATTCAGTTCAGTTCAGTTCAGTCGCTCAGTCTTGTCCCACTCTTTGCAGCCCCATGAATCGCAGCATGCCAGGCCTCCCTGTCCATCACAAACTCCCAGACATTACTCAAACTCATGTCCATCGAGTCAGTGGTGCCATCCAGCCATCTCATCCTCTGTCGTCCCCTTCTCCTCCTGCCCCCAATCCCTCCCAGCATCAGGCTCTTTTCCAATGAGTCAACTCTTCACATCAGGTGGCTGAAGTATTGGAGTCTCAGCTTTAGCAACAGTCCTTCCAGTGAACACCCAGAACTGATCTCCTCTAGGACGGACTGGTTGGACCTCCTTGCAGTCCAAGGGACTCTCAAGAATCTTCTCCAACACCACAGTTCAAAAGCATCAATTTTTCGGTGCTCAGCTTTCTTCATAGTTCAACTCTCACATCCATACATTGTTATGCCCGATGTCCAAATCCCTGAGCAGGAAGAGAGAAGGCTTCCAAGACAATGCAACTCGCATAAAAGGGAAGTTTATTGCTGACTCGAGTCAGGGCTCCTGCTGCGCATCCAACACAGTGGTATGGGGTCAGAGAGCGCCGAGCCCCAGCTGTTACCCAATGTATAAGGTGTGCATAAGCAGTTGGTAGCTGGCTTAAGCAGATTGGTTACATGTTTGCAAAGTAATCTTATTGGCCCAAACCTTCGCGGGCTTTTTTCAAACTTGGGCTTTCGCAGGCTTTTCAGCTTTACCCTGATAGGTTCCCTCTTTCTTACTAGGCGCATGTTGATTGGCTGGCTCCAGGTGGCCTGATAATCATGTTACCCTGGAAAACCAGACCTACTCCTAATCTAGGCTGCCTGTCATGGCGCAGCCTCACATTCCCCCGTCTTGTTGTTTCTGTAGAGGAATCTTTCTCTTCATCCTGGGCTACCATCTGATATTGTTGCCTCAATACCATAATCTGAATGGTATTTAGACGTTCTTTAATAAAAGACATTAACCGGTTTAAAATGCAAGGGCCAATCGTTAGTGTCAATAACTGTACTATAAGTGGACCCAGGAGGGTGGAAACTAAGGTGGTCAGCCAGGGGGAGCGTTGAAACCAAGACTCAAACCATGATTGTTCATTTTCTCTTTCTTGTTTTCGCCTGCTTAGGCCTTCTGTAACTTTTTGAAGAGATTTCTGTACTACTCCTGAGTGGTCAATATAAAAACAGCATTCTTCTCCTAGGGCTGCACATAGTCCCCCTTGTTGTAAGAACAGCAGATCTAAACCCCTTCTATTCTGTAACACCACGTCAGCCAGAGAACCTAAGGATTCTTGGAGGTGGGAAACAGACTTTTCAAGTTGTTCAATATCTTCATCTATTGCAGCCCTTAGCTGGTTATACTGTTTATGTTGGAGCGTTAAGGCTGCAATTCCACTTCCAGTTCCTACAGCCCCCAATCCCAACAGGACAGT